CCGTACATACAAATGCTGAATTAAATGATTATACATTCATCGACGTATCCATTCAAAATAGCCCTCATGCATTGAGGTTATTTTTAGGGTTGTCCGTTTCAAACAAAACATGGTGCAGCAGCATTTAGCTGTTATGTAAATTGAATAAGCTAATTATAGGTGGTACCGCTTGTACCACAGGTACATTATGAAATAATCCACTGTTAAAACTGGAATGATGGAACCATCAGAGGGACTAGAAGCTGCTTGCTTTTCAAGGTAAAATTGCACTCAGAGGGACTAGAAGCTGCTTGCTTTTGCAAGGTAAAATTGCACCAATCATCTCCAACGGAACAAATGCAGGAACAGACCCCTCGTCTGCCTGATGTCCTTTTGTAAGACCATTTTATTTTTTTACTTCCAGCAACATGCGGCTAAATTGCTGTTGCGAGAGAGTATCAGGAGTCTGCCACTAGTGTCCCAGCAAATACGCTTAAAGATAAGTTGAGTCAGGACCGGGAGAGACCATCAGACACCTGTTAAGGCAATGTACCGAGGATTACTTGTGATAGGCGAGACACAAGTGGTCGATGTAAAAAGTAGGTTTTGATGCACTCTTACTTACTGTCTTTCCTTTTATGGTCCTGTAATATGCCGAGTTGTCAGAGACTATTATCCTCAGGTTGCAAAAGCCCAGGTTAAATTGCGATCATTGACTGTTACTTTATGGCAGGAGGGTTTTTTGGGGGTGGGGAGTTAGTCATTTTTCTCACTTAGCATGTCTGTTTTGAAAAGAAAGCAGAGAAAAAAACCAGGTTGTTCTTTTGTCGTGTCGGAAAGCTTTAGTCTCACCATGGGAGTGTTTTCTAAGCACTCTCTTCTGAACTCTTCAACTGGTACCCAAAAAATGAAAGGTCTTTGACCTCAATTTGACCGTCAGAAAAAAACACTTCAACTGGAGACTATTTCATTGTTGATGGAGCTTGAATCAGAGGAGATGCTGCAGGCACAGAGTGCACTTCCTGCTGTGAGAAGTTTTAAGACCATACAAGTAATTGGCAACAGACATACTGTATATAAGAAAAAACTACCAATGACACTCCGACAATAATGATGGCTCCACAAATGTGCTTTGGTGCAGAAGAACAAAATGTATTGTAGATTAGAAGCTTGAATGGCAGCATTACGCAGCAGAATCATGGGAACGATCTGGGTGACTTCATTCAGGTGTGTAATAACGGTTACTTGTCGTCCTGCTTCTTTTGAGGGGCAAAAGCTGAAGTTCCATCCATCCATCCATATTCATCCTCACGGGGTGACAGCAGTCTCCATGACCACCACCCAAATCACACTGCACCATACCAACCCCCCCTGAACCTTCCTGCGGGTGGTGAGTCCGCTGGAAGGTACCAACCACCCTAACTGGGATTCAGACTTGCCCAGGATGTGAACCCTGGGGTTCCACACCAATGACAGAGACATTGCACCACAAGCTGTTCATTGACTTTTTATTTTTTGCTTTAAAATAAATGAAAGGGAGACTAATCAACTGCCACGTACAACACAATTGATGGCAATGTGACTTTGACAGATAACAAAAGCATCGTCTCTGAAGCCTCAAGGCTTCATTGAACAATTGGGTTTAGAAATGGTTAGAAATCAAGTGCAGCAGGTTTAATCAGACCTATTCAACAAGAAGTCTCAAAGCACCAGAGTATAGACACCAATTGTCTAGATCAGATATGACTAAGATGTGGGAGCTGAGTGTATGGAGAGCCTGTTTTCTATAGTCCGTCACATTGCTCAGGAAATGTATGATGCAAGAATGGCATGAGTCGTGAGTCGATCTGAAAGGTATGGCTCTTCATTAATCCCAACTACTTAAGTTGCTGATCTCACCTTAAGTCACAATCCATGGATAAAAAGGTGAGCTATTACTTTCATGTATTGGGTAAAAACCAGTAGACCAGTCTTGTTCCATCATTACATACTCAATAACATATTAATACTCTGCTGCCCGGATGTTATTTAATGGTTTTTAGGCCTTTTTTTGGAGGCCATACAGAATGACTTGGTAGGCCTTGAGTTTGACAAACGTGGTTTAGAAGATCATCAACTGTTAGCAATTTCAGAACAAATACTAAAAAAAAGTGTTGGGGTGGCCTTGTGTCTTTTATCCTCTATTCACACTGAATGGAATTATCAGCCGTTATCAAGGACTGCTCAGAAAGATGGACCACGAGTGTGAAATGTACATGTTTAGAATTAGTCAGCAGTAGTATGTGACTGGAGGCAGCATTTAGAAATTTGCAGGCCATTTACAGATGATTGATCTGTTTTGAACGAAAGGCTGTGCCATAAATCAAACCAGGTTCAGTTCTCAGCCGTGCTGCTGTTTTCCCATGTTTTGTAATATATACTGTGTATATATATATATATATATATATATATAATTTTTTTATTTTTATTTTTTTGCAAATGGGGGCAGGGGTTATCTCTTTGTGGCAAAAGTTTAAATTTATTAAATGTTAATCGAAGCTGGTGCAATAGAAAAACTGATTTCTACATTTCATCAGCCTATGGTGATATTTTATCCCCAACTTAACCAATAGTCACAGTTAATTCGTAAAATGGAAAGAAACGTTTGCTACGTGGGAGGCACCAGATTTTGTGACATTGCGGTGGGGTGGAATTCCACTTCTGTAATTCTGTAGTGGCTACATGAGCAGAAGCTCCCCCTACTGTCTGTCCTGGAGAATGACACAAAGCTGTGTTTAAAGAAGTGACTTGGATACAAGCATCTCACTGGGAGATGATAGAACAACTGACTGCTGTGCTATCTCTGTAATAAAAAGTTACGAAAGTACTGTATCGGGAGTTACATGCTCATTGTCGGAGGTGCGATGATGTCATTATCGACTTGTCGGCTCGACTTTGACTTTATTGTCAAACAAGCTAACGTAAAAAAAGTCATCAATGTCCTAATCAGAGCTGAATCCACTGTTTTTACCAAAAACCACAGCAGCTGTTTGCTGTTGTGTCACCATTTCAGCCTCCTTCGGTGTAATCATTACAAATGGAAAAAGAAACTGTGCACGAACGGGTCTGTTCATCTCCTCCTGATCCTCCATGACATCGTCTTTCGATTTCTTTGAACTGCCATATTTAGTTGCACGAGACACCATCTTGAGTAGGGCTAAATCCAGTCCTTTGATGGATGGACCACTCAAGAGCAGGCCATTGTCATGATGAAAGAGACTCAAGGGCCTCTCTGATTCTGGCTGCACGCATCTGTATCTCTCTCGCTCACGTTCTCTTTTCTCTCTCCCTTGTTCGGAAGTACTGCAGGCTGTCTGCTGCTACTCCTTCCTGATGCCAATAAGAACCACGCTCTTAACATACAGTAATGTCGCTGCTATAACAATGCTGGTCCACGAAGATGCTGTTATCTGACTGATCAGCAGAGCTTTTTGTACTTAAGCCTGATCATGGCCCTGTCTCTCTCTCTCTCTCTCTCTCTCTCTCTCTCTCTCTGTATCTCTCTCCTTCTCTTTTTCTTTTCTCTACATTGATATTTTACCTTATTTTTTATTTTAGCAATTTATTTACTGTCATTTAGCGAAACGCACAGATGAGCAAAATGTATTCATCAATATTGTTTTAGAAGGATGACTTAATTATATATATATATTGTTTTTACAAATTTCTAAAATTTTATTGGTTGGGTATAATTTTATAGACTAAAAATGAAAAGCATTTATGCGCAATTGTTACTTTAAAATTTTAAATGAATTTATATATACTTATTTTATTGGAAATTAAATATGATTTATTTCTTATCTATTAAAAATAAAATATACAGTAATTCAAAAAGTTTAGAGTCACCAATCTGCTTTACTGTAATATTTGATTTTTGTCCCTAAAACAATATTTTTTTAAACATCTATTAAAGCCTTGAGAACTTCGCTATAGCGTATTCCAACTCTGAACTTTTAAATATATTTTGTCTTTCATAACAAGAAGAATACTTTGGAAATTATTGGTTCAATCTTTATAAATCCTACGTATTTGGACATTTAGACTGTCTGTAGGTATCCAACATGATTCTCTCTGATATACAGTGCAGGAAAAAAAAATTAAAAACTGAAGTTTTTCTGCAGAACAGGCAATGCGAGGTTAAAGATTTAATTTTGAGTAAGGATTACAATAAGGTCTGATTAGCGTATAAGGATATGTGTACAATGTGTGTGTGAAACAGACAGAGAGAGAGAGAAAAGTTTGAATCCTTTTGGAAATCCCTTAAATACCTGTTTATTAAAATGTAGGCCAATATCATGTCATTTTACTCCCAAGTGAGAATGAAATGAATCCTAAAGTCCACTGGACGTGTGACGAGTGTTGGCACAGAAAGCTAAAAGATTGAAAAGAGAGAAGAGAAAAGAGGAATTAGGAACGGCTGAACAATATGAAATATGAGCTAAAAAGGCGGAGGTGACTTTAGGTGACAGCTGAAAGAACTACAGCCAGGTGAATAAGAGAATTACAAATAAAAGTAAAAAAGCACTCCAGCTCTGGTTTGGAAAAAAAAAAGAATTTAGCCCATAAATCAGATCCGAGTAAAAAAGAAAAGGTTTTACATGAGTCATCTTTCTTCACATCATCCTTAGTCTGGTTCTTAAAAGTGTGTTTAAAGAAGTGTAGTGTGGAGTTAACACCATGCAGTGGTGGTACACACCTCTGTTTGCGACGTCCTCGACCTGCTGCATTTCATGGTCCCATAATACTGACGTACGGCATTAAAAGCTCCCCAACTAGTTCCTGTGAACCATCTAGTTGGCGAGCAGAGCTGACGAACACATCGTCAAGCATAGGTGACTTACATGCAGCAGGTACTCGTGTGCAGCATTTGAGTTCCGACTTACAAAATCAAGTTACGTCACACTGAGGGAACGGAACTCTCTCTGTTCCAAACGTTAAACCTGATGGTTAAAACTCTTCTTCTGACTGTGTTTCTTAAACAGGTGAATGCGTTCCTGTCCTTTGTGGTTCCCATGGTGGCCATCTCTGTGCTGAACGGAGTCATAGCCAATCAGCTGCTGCGGATGTTCCGCGAGGCAGAGCAGGAAAACCGCGTCTGCATCATTGGAGGAAATCCCACCACTCTAAATGTCACAGTGGAGCCCAACCGTGCCCAGTCACTGCGCCAAGGAGTCCTTGTTCTACGTAGGTATCCTCAAACCACTGTATGTACCATACGGACCATTTCTATACTGGACAAGACGTTAGACCTAATCCTTAAAGGTTAAGTCTTCTGAGAACAAACTTTATTACCATACTGTTATATTTTGGGGGTTGGGTCTGGGGTTGAGTTTGTGGATCAGGGGCACTTTGGTCCAGACCAGTAGGAAATATTAGGGAAGTATCATAGAACCTTTTGAGAAATGTACGTGGGACGGATGGAACAGTCAGAGATTTTCAGTGACAGCCACCTTAGTGGGCAGCAGTGGATTGGTGGTTAAGGAAACTGACTTAGGTCCGAAAGGTTTCAGGTTCGAGTCCACCAGCTGCCAAGTTGCCACTAAGGTGCTCTGAGCAAGACACACACTAACGCTGCCACTTTGGTGATGGGTTAAAAACAGGGGTCCAATTTCGTTGTGTGTGCAGTGGTGAGCTGCGTCACAATGACAAATAATTCACTTTCACTTTTACCTCAAGTGTAACGTAACACATCATAGACCTAGTGAGGATGAATAATAGGAGAGCTGAACTATTTTTTTTCATACTGAAGTCATAATGATTCAACTTTAGTCTGTGCTTGGGTTTTGTTTTCAGCCAAACCAGTGCTGAAAAGTCACACTCACAGAGACAGATAGCTCTGAATGGGGGTACTCTAGTGACACGAGAAGGATACTTAATCAACGTGTTCTCACATGACGAAACCCTTTGTTGCTTGGCAACGTTTCACTCTCCTGTCAATTCCAAAAGGAGACACGTATCTTCTCATCAAGCCTCTGTTTTTTTGGAAAAGTGAGCCATAATTAACCTGCTCGGAATTTTTATTCAGATGCTTGTGATCTTTGAACTACTTCCTGTAGAGTCCAGTTGATGTCCCTAATGACAGGGATGAGGGAGACAAGTCGGCAAGTGGGCTTTTGGAATACTGACGTTACCACAAGAAGATCTTTTCTTAAAAACAATGATTTTTGTCTTGTTATCCACAGAGACAGAGTGTTGAAATGTCTAAACACAGATGAGCCTAATGGTTGTTCCAGAGGGAAACAGTTCTAGACGAGAAAGGCTGCAATTAGGTCTCAGTTTCTCAGTTTTCTCAAAAACCAAACATTCCTCAAAATGATAGGCCATCATTGGTAAGTCAGCTACACCAGCTGTAGTACACTGTAGTACAAAAGGTGTTATTTTCACTTTAGTGTTTAGTCGAGGACCCCATGTGTATCTTTTGCAGCTGGAGTGCCTCGGATAATTTGTGCTGACTAATAGATTACCCAGACATTTTCATCTAACCCCTGGTCCGTGGACAGGTGCCGGTCCGTAGGTCATTTGGTAGCGGGCCGCAGTAAAAAAATTGTCATTTGGTAGCGGGCCGCAGTAAAAAAAAAATGCACTTAGTTCTACTAATTTACTTCATTCCAAATGAATCCAGTCATATCCCTTATATAATCTGACAATGTTTCAAAACAGTAAAGTCTAAAAGGTGTTTTATTTTGAAAATTTAATGATCCTTCAATGATGAAGTGGTATTACTGGGCTGCAGTAACAGCTGTACAGACCAAATGGTCATTGGTACAAAGAAGGTTTTTGACCACTCATCTAGCCCATATATGGAAAAATAATTAAAGTGGTCCACACAATCGGTGGAGCGTATTTCAACTAAACATGATCCTGTTTGTCCATATCGACAACCTAAGACAACTGTCCTAAACTATAGTCAAAGTGAAGTAATACATGTTAATTAATATACATTAATACATGTTAATTAAATACAATAAATGTATAAGTTTCCATTCTGTTGTTTGCATGCTTGTTATGATATATAACATCCAAGACTAGAAATACTACGTATTCAGAACCTTTTGAATTTTGGTTCAATAGCTCTTTGGTGTTTCAATGAATAATGTTATTTTAGGGAAAAAAATCTTTCAGTGTGGTCAAAGTTTTATTCAGACCAAAGGAACTGCCTGTTCTTTTTCCAGAAGGAATCAGAACATTAATAATTCTCATTAAAACAAAACAGGCTCAAAAAGAGATTTTCAACCCTAGGTCTTAAAACAGGGACAAAACTCAGGCAGGCACAGTCCCATACAATAATCATTTTATTTGTCTTGATGTATGAGGTTAGAAAACCACACAAAACTTCCCACCTTGTTTGTTTTATTATTATGGCAGCTTCTTCCTGGGGTCAGCACAGGGGGTCATCTCTGTGTCCTCGTTCAATTCCACTGATATTAATCTTCCTCTTTTTACTACGTCCCCTTCTTCTTTAGAGAGCTTAGGGAAAACCATTCACACTCACAGTCATACCTTTTTTCATATGTCTTTCATTTCCTTTATTTTTGTTTTTTGTAAGAATCCATTTATGTTTTCCTGTCATTGTTGTGCTTCATCTCCATGTTAATAATATTATTAATAAAAGTATGGATTTAAGTAGTAAGAAAAAAGCCATATAAATGTAATGGTGTCAGGTCTGTCTGCCTCTCTGGGTAATCAGTGTCATCACATTCACCTGTGGTCACCTGTCATCCGTCTCACCTGGTGCCCAGGGTATGAATACCTCTCTCTCCCACATTCTGTTTTTGTTGGGTTGTGGTATTGTTGTTCGTGGTATTGTTGTTCATGGTATTGTTGTTCCTGGTATTGTTGTTCGTGGTATGTTGCCTGTATGTTCGATCCTTGTAGGTTCTGTGTTTTGTTTCTTGTGGTTCTATCACCTCTGTTCCTACCAGGCCGTGGTTTTCTTAGAGTGGTTCTATTTAGGTTTCCGACTCTGTTTACTAAACTTCTGATCCGAATCGCCCTCTCTGTTGTGGTGCATTTGGCTCCTGTCAGCTTTTTGTTCTGCCCCTGTATGAGACAAACTATGTCCTGAAGAGTTGTTGTTCTGACCAGGGGAATTAATTTTAATTGAAATGTCTATTCTGACTTCAGAAATCGACGCAAAATACATGCTTTTTTTGCTTTTTTTTTTTTCGTTGCGTGTGTTGCTTAACCTCTTTGCTCTTCCTTTTCCTGATGACAAACAATGATGGCTCTACTGGACCTTTCTTTTCTTCCCAATGATGTGCTGTACTTCTTTGCCATACAGTATCTGCCTATTAAATAAAGTAATGTATATTTTGATATTGTAGCATACAAGTTAATAGGATGGTCTAATTAAGGACGTCACATCAAATTAAGGAAAGCTGCGTTTATTTCAGGATACATCTACCTCTGTGAAATGTTATATTCAATATAAACAGGATAGTTCTGATGATGATTTATTTCTATTTATCGTGGTGACACTAAAAAGCATTTGCTCCAGTCAGGTGTGAATGGAGATTTTGTGATAGGGCCATCTGTATGGAAAACATACATGAAATGCTTCCTATAATGATGATTATCCTCTTGTTCCAACCTATGTCATCATATCAGAGATTGAATTTTCACTGGATCACGCTGAGACCCCAGATGGGTCCAGTTTGGTCAGTAATAGTCCCACTTCCAGCTGTTGCTGCAAACGTGATCCTGCTTGTACACTTTAGGCAATCCCATTGGTTTTAATAGGACATGGCAATTTCAATTACGGGGAAAAGCATTTTGCAGTGATTTGTGACCCTGCTCTCTCTACACCCAGACTCTTCATCATACACAGACTGACTCTGATGTGCACCTTGATCTGTATCCATTAATAATGAAAGCAGAGTGGGATATTGACCCGGGGTGCAGTGCAGATTAACTTCACCTTTATCCCACCCTGCGACCCTCCTACCTTTTTGTAACATATATATCATAACACCCACTCTGCATGAGCCGTGAGTGTTATGATACCAATTTAGTGGGAGCAAATTCAACATCTACTTTGTCATAATTACCACCACCGTTTTCCCAGCCACTGCTTTGTTTGATAGTCCGATGTCAGATTTTTTTTTTTTTTCTCTTAATAATAGCTCTCCAACACTTCATCCGGAGTACAATTAAAGCTGTCAACAGTGAGCCATGGATTCCAAAAACAGCCTCTCGTATCATTTCAAGACAATCTCTGTTCTTGGCTTCTTTTCACAGTGTGGCCATTAAGGTCTCTTCAACTCCAGCTGTGTGCTGCAGGGACGTCAGGTCACTGTGGAGAGTGTAGATAATTGTAGCAGTACCCTTTTAAATAGAAGCTCATGGGCCAACTGAGGAGAAAGAAAAACTTTAATTACCTTTTTTAATAAAAAAACTTATCAGAAAGCCAAATCAGAAGTGTGTTAAGGGTTAGAGTTGAGATCCAGAAATATTTGGAGGACACTTTTCTACCTCATCAACTGAAACATCCATCAACCCTCAACTGCCTCTCAGGGTTGTGAGTGGAGCTGGAGTTGTATCAATATTTCTAACAAAGTTGTTAGACTGTAGTTCACATTCAATCACATTTTGGGACATTTTACTTGCTTTAATTTACGCTATTTTACATTGTCCCCTTGGCTGTACAAGACTTTAAAGGGACGGCTACAAAGTTAAATGTTAAAGTTGTGAATGTGGTCCATTTCCATTCATTACAGACTTTATGAAGCAATAAAGAGGAGATGGATTTTTCTGATTTCAGAGTGAACGTCTGTGATGTGATGTGTGGAGGCGTAGGCACACTGGTGGGTGTATGTGATGACTGACTAACTTATTAGGACCAGCTGACAGTGATGGATTGCTATGGGCAGATATTAGTAGATAGGAGACATGCTGCAAGGAGTTTGGACAAACGAGGTCCCAGTCTACAGCTGGCTTAGTGATGGATTACAGAGGTCTATCTGACTCCTGTGTTAACACAGAGCGAGGGACTTTCTTTTCGGAATTTGGCTGTCTTTCTCCCCCATAACACCATGGGTGTGTACACATTCAGCATGTGAGGTTTAATTAAAACTGACTCCCCCCTACACTGCTAAGTTCCTCTGTTCAGTTCACATTAAATACAGTAGTTATTGTTGCCTTTCAAACCTCTGAGCACTTCAGCCCAAACTTTCTAATCTGAAGTT